AATCTGCACCCCAGTTTCCAGCTATTTTTGTCCACTGTGAGCCTTGATGGTAGTTTAGCATACACACATTTGTTTCCATCTTTATTACTTGATCTGCAACTTTTAAACATTTGTTATTTCTTGCTGTATCAGACTTTCTATTCACATCAGTGAAGATGTGTGATCTGGCTGATGAGACAGCAGTAGTCACTACAACAGCAGTCTGTCTCAAAATTATAATTTTGCTGGTTTCTCTTTATCTCATAACCATAACAGAATGGTTGATAGCAACAGTATCCATTTATTCAGAGGTCACTAGGTTGACTGCCCAAGAAAGGGAAAGGCTTGCTAATATGGGTTCCAGAACAATAGAGGCTTACAACATAAATACACATTCAGCAATGAATGGAAAAGCATACCAATTGGTAAGCCTCACCTATCTTCAGTACACTCAAATCCAATAGCATTTGTTTTTAGTTATTTACATGGCCATTCTATTGTTTTTCATAAGAAGAACTCTGACGGAGGAAAAATGACGAAACAGAAAGAGGAAGTAGAAAGGATGCAGCAATGTTGCCGTCCTTTGATGCCTATGAACGCTAATATTTTCATCAGCAGAAGGGTTCCAAGTAACAGTAAACTCAGACAGACAGTAAAGCAATTGCAGACCATTGATTTAAACATTAGACCCGATGCAACGAACATGAAATTAAGCAAACTCCGAAGCACGATGGAAGACAAGAGGGCCTGGCGTGATGATGTGGTCCATGGGGTCGCGAAGAGTTGGACTCGACTGTGCGACTGAACAACAACGACGCTGGAAAGAGAAGTATCTAGTCATTGCTGTGATGTCTTTGCTCAGTTGTATTTGTCCATCCTGCATGCCACACTGATTACAAAATCAGTATCAGGACTGCTCAAACCCGGGGTGGGGTGGAGGTGGTGATTCCCTGTTATGGACTCACTGCAGAGGCGTTTACAGTGACAATGGAAAGTCCACACTGGTCATTTGCAACCTGCAGCAGAATGCTGGGGATCCCTGCACTATCAAAAAAAAAAAAAAATCCCAGGCAAACACTTAACAAGTGCAGTCCCAGAATTAAGTCAAAAACTTGGGACGTGTAGTCTGTGTGTTCTTCCCTGTCCTTTTGTGTTCATCAGCCCGTTCCCTTTGCCTGCAGGCTCCATGCTGGCCAAGTAGCCTCGGGTTCACATGCAGTTCTGCCTTGCAACCACCCACACAGCTCCTCCTTTCCATCTCCAGGAAGACTGAAAAATTGTCCTCCTCCACCTAACACCTAAGGTTCTTCAGTCTTGACAGAACTGCAGCACTTGGGATATGTTTAGCTTATCACGGGAATATGTCACTTTCAGGTGCCCCCCTTTATACTTATATACTTTTGATTTATTGATCGCTCTTTCCTACACACCTGCGGGCTCAGAGAGATTTACAGTTACTCTTTGACAATTGGACTAACAATATTCGTGGGGGATAGGGAAGACAAACATACAGCATTTTTAATTACACACACACTGCAGCTAGCCGGGGCTTCATCTGCGGGCCAGAGAGCTTTTTAAATGGATTTTTTAAAAAATCAGTGATAGGTATATTGCTATAGCATTATATACCCACTACTGGTTTAAAAGAACAGGCAAAAAGTCTGGCACTGGTAGGAGTGAGGGGAAATAGCAGGTATGAGGGAATAGGAAGGGGAAATGGTAGTGGATATGGGCAGGGAGGTGCAGAAATAACCAGCTTCCCACCCACACAGAGGGCAAACTCTTTCCTCTGATGTTTCCAGAAACAGCAGGCAGGTTTCAGAAACATGGGAGCAAAGGGTGGAAAGACCCCAGAAGGTGATGGAAAGAGAACAGCAGGAGGAGGATGACTTTGTGTGAATGCTTCAAAAATCCCTGCTATTTTTGGGAGCCAGTGAGGTGGAAGTTGTTTCACAGTGTCTGAACTAACCTCCAGTATCATTTCAGTTTGCTTACTCTGACTGAAGTAGATGGGTTGCTTGGAGTTGTACAAATTAAATTGTTGCTCATCATGGCTGGTTAAACCCAAATGATCTGTTTGCTAGATCTGTGACCTACATCGCCTCCCATGGCTAGTTGACATGACAAAACAAGGCTTTCAGGATCCATCCAGCACTACAACCAATCACTGTCCTAATTTGCCAGAGACCCAAGACCAGAAGCAAAATAACTCCGCAGACTTCCGGGTGATTAACATTATGTAAATAAAGTTTAGTTTATTACAATGGTATCCAAATACAGAGCAACTTTTGGAGTCACAAAGTGAGGTGCCAGGATGAATTAAATGAAATGCTATGAATCATTTTAGATTATATATTGCAAACCAGTGTACCTTCTGTACATAAAATACTGTAGAATAAAGTTAGAGTCCAGTGGCACCTTTAAGGCCAACAAAGGTTTATTTAAGGTATGAGCTTTCGTGTGCATGCACACTTTTTCAAATACATTGGAATGCCAGGTAAGGTTCAAACTTATAAATGGGCTGAACCTAGATCAGGGGTGGCCAAACTGCAACTCGGGAGCTGCATGTGGCTCTTTCACGCAGTTTAATTTAATGTTAATAAAAAAGCAAATTTGCATATTTTCCAATAAAAATGTGCGTAATATTTGTTCATGTTTTGCGGCTCTCAAACATCTGATGTGGTTGTTAAGCAAGTTTGGCCACCCCTGGCATAGATGTGTTAAGATATGCAAAATCAAAACTAAATAACAAGCTAAGATTATAAGGTCAACAGTTGTTTTGATTTAATTAAGGGGGGAAAGGACAGCGAAGTGATAAATATGTCGAACAGGGGACAAATGTGAAAAGGCATCTTTTCTAAATGTGGGGAGTAAACTGGGAATCACCATTTGTCTCCTCTCAAGCATGGAGGTAAGCATTTTTTCTTTCTTTTTTTGAGATTGGTGCAGTGGTAGGTAAGCAAAACATTCCAATATTCCTTGCATTACTTTCAGTATTCTAATATACTATTCTGAAAAAGAAATACACTCAAATACAGAGGATGTACAGTCCTTCTTGTTAAGAATAGATATGTGAGGACTGAATGAGTTAGCATATGTAATGAGATAAGAAACCAATATTCCTGTTGAGTCTTGGGGAGGTTTTTTGTTCCAAGTGTTGTAATAACTTGAATTCCGCAGTCTCTGTTTCCATTCTGTTCCTGAAGTTTCTTTGTAATAAAACAGCTACTTTGATGTCATTCATTGAATATCCTGGAAGGCCGAAGTGCTCACCTACAGGTTTCTCAGTTTTGTGATTCCTGATGTCAGATCTGTGTCCATTTATCCTCTGACACAGGGTTGGTCCTGTTTGTCCTATGTAGAGAACCGAAGGGTATAGTTGGCATTTAATGGCATATACAATTTTAGAAGATGAGCAAGTGAATGAGCCTTGGTGTAGTTGATGTTGTTAGGTTCAGTGATTGTGTTGTCTGGGTGTATGTGGCAGCAGAGTTGACATCTGGGTTTATTGCAAGCTCTGGTCCCAGTGTCCATGTTCAAATTAGATGTTGCATTATTGTGGGTGAGTTGTTTGAGACAAGGGGGCTGTCTGTGTACAAGAAAAGGTTTGCCCCCCAGTATTTGTGAAAGAGAACTGTAATTGTCTGGTAGAGGTTGTAAGTCATTGATGTTGTGTTGAACTGTTTTGAGCTGGGAGCTGTATGTGACCACTAGTCTATTATTGTCTCTTTTGGGCCTGTCTTGTAACAGGTGTCGGGTTTAGGGAGGTCCCCGGGCCCCGTGTACCCACTTGCCGTGATGAAGGACTAAAGAGAGATGCAGGTATCTCAGAAAACAAAGAGGGCGGAGCGTTCACTCACTGTTCCAACCACTCTTCTCCGGTAATCCAGCCACGTTGGTCTCTCTCTGTTCCCGCACATCAACTGCCTCCGGTATTCCTCCCCAATACCTTGCAGCGTCTCTCCTTATATCCTCGTCTGTCCCTCTCAATGCCCCACCCCATTTCGTGTTCTCTAATCCTATTGTGTCTTTTTCATGCCCATCACCAAAGACCTCAGCGCTATGGTCAGTATTCCCCTGTGACCCGCCTCCCTCTGTCTTCCGGGATGGCTTGTGGTGCGTTTGGGTGCATGTTTCCTGTGCACATGGGAGCATTTCTGCCATTCGTCACGACGTCTCTCTCGGCGTCTCTACTCCCGGTGAGGTTGGCCACTTGTTCCTCACCTTTACTCTGGCTCGTCCCCCTTGTCCCCACGGGCAAGGGAGGGAGTCTCCTAAAGACTCGTTCCCCGGTCCCGCCTCTTTCTCCTTCTTTTCCCTCTCCCCCCGTGCGCGCCGTAGTCGCTGAGGAAGGGACCGGACACTTCCGATGTCTCTGAGTTCTCTGTTGGTAGGGCCCCCCCCGTTGTTTGTGTAGCGTTGGGTCTGTGGCGAGCCTGGCGTGGGTCACGCCAGTCCCGCTGTAGCGGCCTTTAAGGCCGCGGGGTAGCTTGCGGCGGGACACAGGGTTTCTCTGGGTATCATTCTAGCTTTGTTAATCTGTTCCCTGACTTCATCAGGTGGATACCTTAATTCCAAAAAAGTGTGTTGTAGATCCTTCAGGTGAGAATCTCTGTCTGTAGGATTGGAGCAGATGCCCGGCTGTATACAATGGATCATTTGGTATGTTTAGGATAATAGCTGGAGGCATGTAGGTATGTTTTTTGGTCAGTAGATTTCCAGTATAAGGTGGTGTCTATGTGTCCAAACAACTGTTGACCTTATAACCTTAGCTTGTTATTTAGTTTTGATTTTTGCATATCTTAAAGCATCTATGTTAATTTGCTGTTCAGCCTCTGTCTATAAGTTTGAACCTTACCTATCATTCCAATGTATTTGAAAAAGTGTGCATGCGCATGAAAGCTCATACCTTGAATAAACCTGTGTTGGTCTTAAAGGTGCCACTGGACTCTAAGTTCAGACCAACATGGCTGACCACATGGAACTATAAAATACTGTACATTTTAAAAAGTTTTCCCCCTTTCAAACAAAGTGAATGCTGTTTTGAACTAGCAAATAAAATAGTCTATTAATATGTAAAAAAATAAATCTACAAGAATAACAGTGCAAATGCAACAACATGGCACAGAGAACATATGTGAGACCAATCAGAATTATAATACAAAGGGCCCACTATTCCTTGGAGTAGTGGTTGAGATGTACAGAGCAACCAAGAGCACTAAAAATAGATTATGGCTTAAAAAGGAAGATGAACTACATAGAACTGGTTCCGTCACATGTGGTCTTTCTATTTCAGGTGGCACTGCAATCATTCCTTGTATCTGAAAGTTAAAATGGAATAAAATTATCTTCTGCATTTCATCTACCAGCATGCAGGTTTAAGAACTCACATTTCACACTTAGTTTACTAACTGATCTGAACAGTGCTAGGGGACTGAATCCCATAATCTGTGAAAGCCACTGATAATCATGGGTATTTTCTATATTGCATCCCCTCAGCAATACTTTCCAATCCCAGGAAAGTTTATTTCTGGGACTGCAACATGCATGTGCAGAGGAGAAGAGGATAAAACCACCTTTTCTGCCTCTTCTGTTAGTGCTGCTCTGATTAATGAAGAGGGAGGAGAGGGTAATTTCACCCTTTCCTCTCTCACTATGGCTTCCTGACCCACAGGGGTCCTAGGGATAAGCTTTCCTAGGGTTGGCAATGAATACTTTGGTTAGAAAATTGTGGAAATATCAATGGTCATCTATGAGGGTATGTATTTGCAGATCCAATGTAACAGATACCAACCTGTGGCCAAGCAGGCTCCTTTACTCAGATGGGGCCTCATCAGAAGGGCAAACTTATTTGCAGAAGTAAACTGGCCTCTACTCATGGTCCACCCTTCCACTGCTAGCTATTCTGAACTTTCAGACAGACAGAGGTATAGACAGAAATACAGAATAATAGCAGCTTCTTAGCTAATCTAAGGCGACACAGTGATTCTCACATATGGCAGTGTAGTCACAGCTATGAATCATGGACAATTAATATTTCTTGGCTGTATGGACAAGAAGTTGCCTTGTCATTTGAGCATGAGAAGAGACCATATTGTATGTTATCTGTAGCTAATTTTCTAGCATTGTTTCTGCTGGGCAAATTCTAGGATACAGCTGTTCTTTGTTTAGCCTTGCTGCAAAGCCAGAACTGCTTTACTATTGACTATTAGCTCTTTTTTCAGTTTTATAACATTTGTATGCCAAATATAATTGGGGGTGGGTGGGATTCAATCTAGGACCATAGGACTTAGTGTATCATTTCTAGAAGAAGAGTTGCCTATCCAGATGCATTACCGTCTCCTGTATTATCACTCCCCTATTTTCTGATGTGTGGGGATATACTCTACGTAAAGGTAAAGGTAAAGGTTCCCTTGCTTGAAAGCCAGTCGAATCCGACTCTAGGGTTGCGGTGCTCATCTCCGTTTCAAAGCCGAAGAGCCAGCGCTGTCCGAAGACATTTCAGTGGTCATGTGGCTGGCACGACTAAACACCAAGGCACACGGAATGCTGTTACCTTCCCACCGAAGTGGTACCTATTTATCTACTTGCACTTTCTTGCTTTCGAACTGCTAGGTTGGCAGAAGCTGGAGCTAGAGACGGGAGCTCACTCCATCATGCGGCACACTCGGGTGTCGAACTGCTGACCTACTGACTTTCCACAGCCTGCAGTTCAGCATCTTAACCACTTGAGTCACTGCAGCTCCATTATACTCTACTTACTCAGGCCCATATTTATCTTTTTGTACTTAAATATTGGGAGTAGCTCTTGGAGTGGTTTGCATATCCCTAAAGACAAGAAAAGGGACCATGTGTTATGACACAGTGGCAGAGGCACCAGGTTTGCTACTGCAGCACTGTACAAGCAGCCCCTAGTGTCCCATGCCAGAACTGCTAGCCACTCAGTAGCCATGTACCTGTACAGTGCTGCATTGGACACCATGGGGCCGCTATCACTGTCTCTTGACAGTGTCCAATAAGATAGTTAGATATTCTTCCTCATTCCATGGCAGTAGCTTGGACTCCTCCAGCAAACCACTGCATAAAGCATTCCTGGATGAAGTACTGAAAACAGATGCTGGGAGCCCTGGCACAATTTATGCCATTGCCATGGGCTATTCATTGCTTAGCTACACACTCTTCCTGAAGAACCATTCTCTGGATGCTGTGTCTACCTTCTCTTTTGAGAAACACTTGCGTTGAGAAGTAAGACTATGAGTTTAGAAACTGATTGATCAAATCTCAACCAAATTCCCTATGTTTGTAATTTTTTTAAAAAAAATTATAATGTATGTTGTGTACTGACTACTAAAATTTGGTAATTACTGAGAACCAGAGTGGCACAGTGATTAGATATTTTTCATGGCTTCTGATATCCTTACTGTGATGTCAGGAGCCGTGGGAACTACATTGCCAACAGCCCCTTGCATGTGGGATGTTGTCATGGCAGCACCAAGGGCTTAATGGAGGCCCTTCCTGTATGTGCTGTACTTATTGCCAAGCAGGAAAGCTGTAGCAGTAGTAGGGGCTTAGCCCTTGGACTGGGTGAACCTCTCTGATTACCAGATTCAGTAGCAAAAAGCTGGGAACAGGTATTGCAATAATGGCCTTTGTGAGCTCCTCCCTGGCTGCTGTTGGAAACCGAATGCTGAATTACATGGTCTTGGTCTGACCTTAAAGCATGCATTTTGACTTTGGTGCTAAAGCTCATGATGATGTGACTCTGCTTTTCAACTTATAGCTTGGAAATATGACCAGAATAAATCTACAGTCTATACCGGTGATCCCCAATATGGCACCTGTAGGCACCATAGTGCCCACCAATGTGTTTCCTGGTGCTCATTTGCTTCTCCTTCAAAGCAAAAAGCCAGTAGTGGCTTTCCTCCTCCTCTTTGTAGAGGAGAATAGCAGGAGGATGCTTGGCTTGTGACTTCCCAACATTTTGTGATTGGCCCCAGGACCCAACCGCAGCCATTTTCTAATTGGGCCCCACCCTCCATAGCAGCCATTTTGTGGTGGTGACCATTCCTTATTCTTAAAATTATAAAAGTGCCCACAAGTTCAACAAGTTTGGGGGGGGGGGCTGATCTACAAAGTTGGGAATTCAAATGTGATTAATAAGGATTAAACTTACCATCCACTCGGCACTATCAGTCTTAGAACATCTTACATTCACTGGCAGATTAAGAACAAAGTTATTGTAGGAGAGACCCTGTTCTCTGGTCCATTTAAACTTATTCATTGCATCCACAAAAGAGAGGTTTTTGTATTGTTTTGGACTCTTGATAATAAATGGCCAAGTCCTGAATTTGAAAATAAAAAACATATTCCTGCCATTTCTGAAATTCTTGTACCAAATGTTTAGTATGCTGTTCCTAAAAAGAACAATTATTTTTAAATTGATTTTTTCGTATTAATAAGTAGAAGATTAATTTAGTAATCCACTGAATGCTAAATCTCTTGGAGCATGATCCAGATCTGTCAGTCTATCATATTTCTACCCCACACTTCCTCCAAGGAGCTCAGGGTAACATACTGACAGGGACTGCCCCAAAGGTACTCAGTAAGGTTCATGGCTGAGCACGGACAGGGATGGGAAACACATATGCAAAAAGATACCAGCTCCCATGGCATATTAGCCATACTAGCTGGATCAACAGTTCTTTTGCTTCACATGCTGCACTTTGCCCACACTTGCTCTGGGTCCCCCCCCCCTTTCTGCTTACTATGATCAGTGTTATAGAGGGTTGGAAAAGTATTCCTGATTTCTTTATGCAGAACTGAAAAAATAATGTACATTACTATATTACACACACACACACACAATCTGGCCTCATATTAACAGGACTTGGCTCCTGGGATTTTTCCAGTCCTTGTGTGGACTACTCAGAATACTGCCTTTTGCAGTAAATAAGATTAGATGATTTACCGCTATCATTCCACTCTGACTTCTGTGATCTTATTAGCAACGTTACACACTACCTAGAGCAGTATACTGCCACCAGGTATCATTCACAGCATATATTCCCAAAGTATAATGTGGTGTTACAGCCAGATGTTGTCTACAGGCAAATCTGAGTTTTAATGTGGGCAATGCTTCTGATTTTTTCTTCTTCTGATTGTTTCACACTGTTGTTCTAGCTTGAATTTTGGAATTTGCAAATGTGCACATGTATACAATACTTCTGCTGCAGCTTCCAGTTCAATTAATTTGTGTGGGGTTTATTCCTGTGTACCTAGGCCATGATCTTAAGCAATGGTATGCATTAAAGCACTGGACATTTTTTTAGTATGCATTAAAGCACTGACCCTGCTTAGCTTCTGAGATCTGACAAGATTGGGCTAGCCTGGGCCATCCAGATCAGGGCATGGATTTGTCTTATCTCCTTTAAAAGACACTTACAGTATAGGGCATCACCATATCCTATGAAAGTGAGTTCTGATTAAGCATTGTGTGAAAAACTGTTACGATTCCAATGATACCTAATGAAATACTGGAATGTGCAAACAAATTCTACAGCTGACAATTCTGTCAATAATCAAATAAAGCCAAAGCAACGTCATGTATTTTTGAGTGTAACTCACAAACAAAAATTTTGGACTAGGTCTTCCAAGACAGGACTCTTCAGTTAATTACCATTTTATTTGAAAGAAACCCCCCACGTTTTGAATTCTTGGCCCAGCCAAAACAATTGCTTTCTCCCAGGTCAAATATACATCTTTCTGCCCATCGTTATGAATGCACACTCAAGACAGCACAACCCTTATTAGCATATTTTTTTTCCTGTGAACAGGAAGATAAAGTTGCAAGCTTTAAATCAGAACTAGTGTTTTCTCTCACTGTCAGGAAAGATTATAAAATGTCAGCCAAATAGAGGCTGCAAGTATTATACACTGAGGATGTCTGCCCTAAATTAATTTGTAGAATGATGTGTTAATCACTGAGTAGCACAGAGCTCCAGGGACAAAAATAATCTTAGCTCCAACTCTTTAAGCCATTATTCCTACATGCTAAAGAACCAACATTTTAAGCATTTAAAAAGGTACCACTAGGCTTAACGCCTTTATTTACTTGAACTAATTTCAGCCTTCCCTCTCTTCTCGGTGCTGTAGCTTAGGGCATTTTTTTTTATCACTCTGCATTTTTCAGTTGCTGAGGAAACTATGTACCAGTAGTGATGGACTAAGTTACCACAACTTAACTGAGAATAGGTTTGGGGGGAAATGGTTTCTTTTTAAAAAAAGGAAATAAATTGTTTTATTCGCAAACCTATTTCAAAGTTCAGGTCCCTCTGTGCTCCATCTCTCAATCACTCAAAACCTCCATGTCATCCCTTCCCTTTCTCCACTTGTTACCTTACAGTGGCAGCAACAGGTAGGCCTTATTGTGAGGAGGTTTCACGGTAGAGCTTCTATTTTGACCTCGTTGCTGCCACAGCACTAGCCCAGGAATTTAAAAAAACACACCAGGAAATGAAGTTTCCATGGCTTCTGACATCCCACTGTGATGTCAGGAGCCATGAGATCTATATTTATAACAGCCACTTGCCTGTGGGATGCTGTCATGGTAGCACCAAGGGTTTAATGGAGGCCTTCCTGTACGTGCTGCAGCTATTGCCAAGTGGGAAAGCAAAGGGGCCAGCGGTATCATTAGTAGGGAGTTTAGGCGTGGGATGAATAAACCTTTCACTTCGCCCTTCTGAACATTCCAACCCATAAGGAGCATCTGTGCCATACTATGTGAAAGTACACTCACTAATTTAATTTCACATCATTTTCTGGGACATGGAAACATATAGTATAGCCTGATCTTGGAAGCTAAGCAGGGTCGGTACTTGGATGGGAGATTACCAAAGAAGACTGTGCCTTGAAAAACCCTGCTTCTCACTTGTCTTGTGGTGTCACCAAAAGTTAGCTGCAACTTGACAGTAGAACTTTACACACACACACCTCACTTTCCAGTCTTTCTTATTAGAGACACTGGGGCTTACCCCCATACGAAAGGGCTTGTGTGGTTTCTCCATTGCTGCTGCATCTAAAAATACAGCACAGAAGCAATGGGGCTTCCATATGCAAGTTTCTCTGTATTTTTCCTTCCTCAGTACCCCAGCACCCGAAGGCTTGGAAAAAAAATTAGCAATTGACATATTGGAAGAAGAGGAGGAGGAGGAGAGTCGGATTTATACCATGCCCTTCACTCAGAGTCTTAAAGCAGCTTACAATCACTTTCCCTTCCTCTCCCCACAACAGACACCCTGGAAGGTAGGTGGGGCTGAGAGAGCTCTGAGAGAACTGTGACTGATCCAAAATCACCCAGCTGGCTTCATGTAGAGAAGTAGGGAATCAAATCCGGTTCTCCAGATTAGAGTCCACTGCTCTTGACCACTACACCAAACTGACTCTCAATCTGTTTGTCTATTAGGTTCTTTAAATTCCCAGCTTTCATTTTAAAACGTTAAATCCCCTTTTGTTTCAGAAATATGCCTTTCCTCTTATAGCTTCATAAAGATGCAATGGGTATGTTTTAAAGTCATCTTTTTCCATACCCAGATGCCCCTGTATATGCATACTGCTATGGTGGAGGTAGGGCTGCCAGGGCCCCCTGGGGGGCAGGGAAACCCCCATGCGAGAGGCCCGTTCCCCGCTGGCCCAAATTGGGCCACTGGGGGGAACCCCACCCCCAGTCTGTGACATGCACGGTGTGAAGACACCACCTGGAGGTGACATCATCACGTCAGGCATTTTACCGGTGGACGCTCTATCATTCGAGGGAAAACTCTATGGTTTTTCCTACAGTGATTGTGGCCCCTCCCCCAACGTGCCCAACGCGATGACATTACTTCCGGGTGGCGTCATCGCGGCGCGCATTCTTCGCGTGTGTGCAAGGAGACTCCCGGCCAGGGACAGGACTCCCCCTGCTTTTAGGTAAGTTTGACTTGGCAACCCTAGGTGGAGGGCATGTGGAAACTGAAAGGAGGTATATGACATTGTCACATTCAGGAAATGCTGCTCTCCAGCCTTTTGAGGCACAAGAAATTTGTGCTTCCGTTGCATAGCTTTTAAATATTGCTTCATAGGAATGGGCACAAACTGAGAAACTAACTGTGGTTTGAGCACGAACCAGGCCAGTTCATGGTTTGTTACAAACTGGTTCATTTGGTCATATCGTTTCTGAATAAAAAACAAACCTTTTACTTCATGGAGGTTCATTAGAGTGGTTCATTCTCCAGACAACCTGGCACTGATTCAATCAATTCCTAGGCAACACTTGGGGTGGACTTGTGGAGACCCCTAGAAAAACTCATAGCAGTTGTCCATAGTTTAATTGGCAGCTCTGGGAGCCAACCATGGAGCTCCCATTCTGATCTATGGGAAGCAGATGTTGAGATCAGGGGTCATTTGGGGGGGATGCGGGGGGACACCATCCCCCCGGGTGAGGTGCGGGAGGGCGGGGCCTGGAGCTCCCTGCTGGTGCCCACTGGAGGTCGCCGCCGGCTGTGGGGAGGACACACTTCCGGTGATGTCAGGGGGTGTGGCATATGCTAATGAGTTATGCTAATGAGTCCCCCTAGCTCTTTTTCTACGAAATGACCCCTGTATATATATATACCATACCCTGACTCAGCTGCTTTCATTTTGCAGCAGGAAGAGAGAGGAGTTAGTGAGTGCAACTTAGGAAGAACTGCTTGCTGTGTGGCTGATTAAGGAGAGGGTAGAGCTGAGCTTTCCTGGGGGCACCTGCTTTGGGGGGCTGTAACTCAGACTGCTGAAGTCTCCCTGTGAGTTTGGCATCTCTAATATGTGAGGAGGCTGTTCTACCACCTCCCAAACTGAACAAATCATGAACTGGTTTGGGAAACAGGAAAAGTTCATGAAAGTTCATGGTTCATCTCTCCTTATATATAATTGAATAGTGGGTGCCAAAGTTCTAATTCTAAAATGCACTCCCTTAGTGTATGGCTGATGGCACTGCTCCTCAGCATATATCGCCACCAATCAGAAGGCAAAGCCCGGGTCCCGCCCACACCACAACTGCTGCAACAACCTGGTCTTCTGCATATGGAAGCTGATTGGACTTCAGTCCATTCCACACCTCAAACTCCCCCCCCCACAAGGCAGTTGG